TGGGGTTCCCAGGCTGCTGAGACCTGACCCTGTCCTCCGGAGGTGGGACAACTCCGGCAGGCAGCGCCCGGGGTACAGGGCAGGACCCGAGGGGAGGCAGGGGGTGCGGGTGGAGCCCAAGGCAGGCTACGACAGCCCAGTCCCGGGGGGAAGAGGAAGGACCTCCGTTTGGGATGGCTTTTTTTCTGGGACGGGGCTCAGGGAGGGGGGAGGCTTCCTTCCTCCAGCCCCCGAGCCGCTTGGCGCCCGATCCTAATCTCCGGTCCCAAGGGAAGCGCAGGACAAGCATGGTACTTTCCGGAGCAGCCGCACCCTCCCTTCTCTCAGGGGTCCCACCACTGTGCACCCCACTAAGACCGCACAGCGTCAGGGGAGCCCAGGCGACACGGGGGCACGCCCCTTAGACCGCACACTCCTTGGGCGTACCCAGGGCTTCTATACGTACGGACTCAAAGTCACCTAGAAACCCATTTGTACTGCCAGGTACTAGTGCGCACACACATGTACGAATGCTGCCACGAATCACACCCCCTTCCTGTGGAATCACCATCACACACCCAGCTGAGTTTGGGGATCACTAAGCCAGCTCAGTCGCAGCCTGACCCGAAAGCACAAAGTACACGGATTTGCTGCCTTGAGATGACCGCCCCCCACACACCTTTGCCCTGTATTTGTTGTACTTCCACCGAAGTGACCTCGGAGGGTGGGGCCCCTTGAAGGGGGGAGGGGGACACTGGGTTCCCGGCTGCGGTGGGGGGATGACTGGGTGGGAAGGGATCAGACCAGCGCCAGACAGCTTGGATATTCCAGGTCCTGTGGACAGGGAAAGGGTCCCTTCAGAAGGGACACAGGCGGCCCGCTTCTGTCAAGTCTTCCTCTTATTTGCCCAAGCCCCCTACCCCCCGGGGGGTAGACAAGATCTTTCATTCAGGGGTTTGTGATGTGTGCAATTTCTGTATCCATAGCAACTAGCCAACGAGCTTGGCCTTCCCTAGCCCCAGGTCAGAACGCGAACTTCTGCTTCAAGTTACTCCTGGGTCCTGGGGTGGAAGGCTCCACGAGGGGCTGCCTGAAGCGCGGCCATATCTGCCTCGGCTCCCAGACCTGCCCTGCCCTGGGCAAACACCCCATCCCCAGAGCTGGATGCCCACAGAGGGGGAAGAGGGGGAGAGAGCACGTGTGCATCCTGCGTGCAAAGAGGCTGGACCTCCTGCAGGTCCTACTCACTGCCCACGTGTCCAGGTTAAAGGGGAAACAAGCCCCCGGAGATGGACGCGGGGCCCGCCTTGTGACCTCTGTCGCTGGGCAGCATCCCAGGCCTCTACTCCTCCCTTGGGCTTCTCAGGTGCACTGGGAGGAAGGCTGCCATCTGCCTTCTGCCAAGGTCCCTGATGGCCGAGTGTCACTTTCCCCAGGCCCTCGCCATGGCTGAGTCCGCCCGCTGCTGCTCCGCCTGGGCCCGCTGCTTGCACTGCCTGTATAGCTGCCACTGGAGGAAATTCCCCAAAGAGAGGATGCGAACCAGCAAGGTGGAGAGGGAACGGGGGGCCGGAAGTCCAAGGCAGAGGCCGCTTGGAAGGGGAGAAGGAGGCCATGTGTGCTCAGAGGCCATGTGGGGGGCGGGCGGGGAGGTGCTTTCTGTTCCCAGGAAGAAAAGCTCCCTCAAATATGGGAAGAGTTGCCTACAGAGCAGCCCAATGCCTGGCAGGAAGCCCCTCGAGCTGCCACCCATTGGGGGCTCTGAGCCGGAAGTGCGGATGGCTGAGCTTCTCTCTTGCCCCTTTCAGTGCGACTGTATCTGGTTCGGCCTGCTGTTCCTCACCTTCCTCCTCTGCGTGGCCTGGCTGTACATCGGGCTCGTCCTTCTCAATGACCTGCACAACTTCAACGAGTGTGTCACGGACTGCCCCCAGGGCATACATGTCAACTCACTCCCCCCACCGGACCCCTGGGTGCTCGCTCATCCCCAGCCCTGCCCAGCTCTCCTGCCACCCTGCGAAGGGCCACCCTTCACTCCCTACTAGTCCTCCTTCCGGTCCACCCAGCCCAGCTCCCCTCAGGCCACTGCTAACACCCCTTCCCGCACACGGACACCCCCCCTGTCCCCTCCCACAGATTCCTGTTCCGCCACTGGGGGCGCTGGATGGACTGGTCCCTGGCATTCATAGTGGTCATCTCTCTACTGGTCACATATGCATCCGTGCTGTTGGTGGGTCTGAGGGGTGCGGCGTTGGCCTGACTCCCACCTCGGCCCTTCTTCCCTGCTCAGCTCTACTCTGTGGTTCTCACCCTGTCCGCTGGGGAGAGGGGAGGAGGGAGGTGTCAGCCTGGGAAGCCCAGGTCAGCGACCCCTCTTGGTGGCTCATTACTGCCACCACCCTGTGTCCCCAGCTCCTGGCCTTACTTCTGCGGCTCTGCGGCCAGCCTCTGCATCTGCACAGTGTCCATAAGGTAGAGTGCGAGGGACAGGGCACAGGAGGGGGCCACTGGGACCTCGCTAATCTGTCCCCAGGCTCCAACTCAGGACCCGAAGCCCAGTCAATATTTGCTGAGTGCCAGAGGGGTAGCGGAGGGGTCCGGGGAAGGCACTGGGCCTCTCTCCATAGCGGGAGGGGCTAGCCCGTCATAGCCATGAGCCCGGGTGGACACAAAGTCCCACTGATCCTGGTCCCCCAGGTGCTGCTGATCTTCATTTTGGTTCTTGTGGCCGCCGGCCTCGTGGGGTTGGACATCCAATGGCGGCAGGAGTGGCGTAGCTTACGTCTGTCACTGCAGGTGAGGGTCCGATCTCCAGTGCCTAGGTTGGGAGCCTTGGCCTGTGGCCAATCTCAGGACTTATCTTCCTCCCTGGCCCCCCAAGACTGCAAGTACCTCTGAACTCCAAAAGTCAGGTCCTCAGAGGAGAAAAGGAGGGCCCCTAGGGAGGAGAGCCCTCCTCACCAACTGTCGTCCACAGGCCACAGCCCCATTCCTTCACATTGGAGCAGTTGCTGGCGTCACCCTCCTGGCCTGGCCTGTGGCTGACACCTTCTACCACATCAAGCAAAGAGGTGCCGACTCCGCCCCAGACACACCCATGCTGGCCTTTGGGGCTTCTGCCTCCCTCCACCGAATTCCCTGCGCCCGCTCTCTGTTTTTTGCCCCGAGAAGTCACCCGTCGCCCTTCTCCATAGCCTGTCCCTCCCTCCCACAGGTCCCAAGATTACACTACTGGTCCTATTTTTCGGAGTCGTCCTGGCCATCTTCCTGGTCCCCCTATGCATCTCTTCACCCTGTATCATGGAACCCAGACACCTACCCCGCAAGCCCGGGCTGGTGGGACACCGAGGGGCGCCCATGGTGAGTGGGGGTGCAGAATGCTGGCAAGGCGGGGTGGGCGTGCACTGGCCAGGCCCCGCCCTCCCGTGCGACCTCCTCGCCAATCCCATTTCCCAGCTGGCCCCCGAGAACACCCTGATGTCCCTGCGGAAGACAGCAAAATGTGGGGCCGCTGTGTTCGAGACGGACGTCATGGTCAGGTGAGTGCAGCTGGGGGCCAGGCCCAGCAGGGCAGCTCCGAACAGCGACAGGCGGCCCCGGGCTCGGCCGTCTCACATGCCTTGTGCCCTCAGCTCCGACGGGGTCCCCTTCCTCATGCACGACGAGCACCTGAGCAGGACCACAGACGTGGCCTCTGTGTTCCCAGCGCGAATCAGAGACCACAGCAGCGATTTCTCCTGGGCTGAACTGAAGAGACTCAATGCCGGGGCCTGGTTCCTGGAGGTGAGGACAGCCTCGGGGCAAAGCCTGCCGCCTGCAGGGGCGCTGGGGGCAGAGTTCACTCGTTGATAAGCCTTTGCTGAGCCCCGTCCGGGCGACGCGAGGTCTACAGGCTCTGCCCTGGCTCACGCCCTCCTCCCTTCCTCGTAAACCCAGGGTGATAATGACGTGATACCGGGACGAGGGACAGAGAGGGAGGTCACTGTTTGGCGCGGTGGGTGTGGCAGGACTCCGGCTGGTGGACTCCGGCTCGGCAGACCGAAGCAGAGCCGCGTCTGAGCCGGGCAAGGCAGGGAAGGGAATTCCAGGCGGAGGGAAGCGTGTGGGCAAAGCCCAGAAGTGCCAGGCGGTGCGTAGCAGGAGGCGAGGCCGGGAAGGGAGCAGAGGCTGGTCATCTGTCAACGTTCCCGGCACCAGGCCCAGAGGTGGTGACTTCGATCCTGCGCGCGTTGCAATATATTCCAAAAGACGCTGCGTTATTTTTCAGTTTCTTTTTCCTAATTACGAAAGCAACAGATGTTCCTCGTAAAAAAGTAAAAACCTCAGAGAAATAAGCTGAAAAGGGGCAAGTTTCTCATAATCCAAGCTCTCCGAGGTATTCGCCGCGAACGGCCGGGTACGTCTTCCGAATACGCATATGCACACACACGTATATGCACACACACGTATATGCACACTCACACATATATGCACACAGGTATACGCGCACACACGTATACCTATATATACTTCTCATTTTGCACAAGTAGGATCACTTCACAGATTCTTTTGCAACTTACTTTTTCCCATTTAACTCTATACACTGACATCTCAGAGCACTGAGCGTAGGACTGTCTGGCTTTGCATCCTGGCTTCGCCACTTCCAAGCTGCGTGAGCCTGGGCAGCACCCCCTAGTCTGTCTGGGCTGCCTCACCTCATCTGTGAAATGGGAACAGTGACAGTGCCTTGCAGGATTTCGGGGACGATGAAATCAGTGGAAGCCCAGAAAGCCGGGCGCGCAGTGGATACCAGTAGCTGGCTTTTCCCTTGTCACTGATGAGGAGGGAAGGTCATTTGCTGATTATGTGGCGTGGAGAGGAAACGGGCGGGGTTTGGCGATGGCCCCTTGGAGGGATGGCAGTGGGGGCAAACCGGGAACAAGTAAAAGGCTGGCTAAATGGCAGGCGACTGTAGAATTGAATCAGACTCAGAGTCCGGGATGCCTGGCGTGGGCGGGGTGGGAATGTCGCAGAGGGCGCTGCAGAACTGTAGTTCAAGCTGTGGATGGACAGTGGGTTGGTGACACAGGCGTGGCCAGCAAGCTGCTGCTGCATCGAGAGGACAGCAAGGTGTCAAAATCCCAGAGTGTCCTGGGAGACAGAAATTTAGCAACCTGGGAGGGTCGGAAGTTGGGTCACAGACTGAGGTGTTACAGCGTCTGGAGAAAGACAGCCTGGCTCAGGTTCGCAGAGGCCGGACCCCAAGATGCCAAGGATGGGGGAAGGGCCCGGAGGCTCCTCCAGGTCTGGAAATCACTTTCCTAATGTTATAGAGGCGCCCTTTCTGGGGGGCCAGTCAGCTGTCGGCCCGCGATCGGAAAGAGGCCGGGAACCAGAGCGTGCCCGCGCTGGCAGAGCTCCTGAAGGAAGCGGCGGGCCTCAACCTGTCCGTCATGTTTGACCTACGCCGCCCCCCGCGAAACCACACGTACCATGACACATTCGTGAACCAGACACTGGACGCTGTGCTGAATTCAAGGGTGCCGCAAGCCATGGTGATGTTGCCAGGCCTCCCAGTGCCCCTCGCGCCCCTCCCCCCCGCCGCCACCCCGCCTTCCCCATGCCACGGTGACAGTCCCAGCCTAGCTCATCCACCCCACTCTGTGCTCTGCGCCCGCCCCCGGGACCCCCAGGCCTTCCCTGGCATCATGCCCATCCTCCCCGAACCACAGATCCTTTGGCTTCCGGATGAAGATCGGGCTAATGTCCGACAACGGGCGCCCGGAATGCGCCAGATATACGGACAGCGGGGAGGCGACAGCGCCGAGAGGCCCCAGTTTCTCAATCTCCCCTACCAAGACCTGCCGCTGTCGGATATCAAGTGAGTGCCAGGGGGAGGGAGCCGAGGGCATCACGGGAGGCTTAACGATGGGGATGAGCCAGTGCAGGGAGGACATCGCCATCCATTCATTCGCTCGCGTGACAGGTACTGTCCAGATGCTTGTCACGTGTCAGGCTCTAGCGCAGGCTCTGGGTGTCCAAGTGGAACAGACAGACCATAAACCACTGACCAAAATATATGCGCGTGGGACATCGATAAGCAATACGAACGTGATAAAGTGCGGACGTGTAACATAGAGCAGTTGGGTTCGGGACCGAGGGGCTAAGGAGGGGCCCCATTAGGAAGAGTGGTTAAAGAGGTGGTGTCTGGGCCGAGACCCAGGGGTGACAGAAGGTCACAATGAGCAGAGCTGCGGAAGACTAGGGACAGTGGCGTCATGACCGAGACAGAGATGAGGCCAGAGAGATAGATAGGGGCCCAAACTGGGTGGGGCCTTGTAGGCCACAAGAAGGATTTTAGCTTTCATTCTACACCAAAGAGACAAAGATGATGGCTCCAGGGAGGAGAGGTGACAGAGTTGCAGATATCAGCTGGGACCCAGAAAGCTGACCCAGCCAGTAAACAGGATGGACCTCAAACCATGCAGTTGCCAAGGTCCTTGGGGTCGAATAGAAAAAACAAAGTGCGCTGAATGACAGCGCAGCTACCACAAACATGTTGAGGACCTTTCCTCAACTTCTCACTGTGGAGGGAGACAGGACATCGGGTTTGGCCCTCACCTCGACCTTGACCTGGTCAACATCGACTGCCGACCGCATTTCCAAAAGATGTGAATTGGTAACAAATACACTAACAATGAAATCAAGGCCCCAAAAGGCCTGAGCACCGAGATGATGGGCCAAAGGTGCCGAGATGCAACGCAATGGGGACAGATGGAAAGACCTAGATTTGGGGCCCCAGAGAAGCTCAACTGCACAGACACGGGCGAGGGGACAGTAGCATCGGCAGGAACGTGTGAAAAAGACCCAGGGCTTTGACTGAACACTCGTGCATAACGAGTCATCAGGGGCACGTGGCATTGACAAGACTAACCTGACGCCGGGCCGCCATCAGACAGGCAGGGTGCCCAGAAGGCAGGAAGGGTTTCGCTCTGCTCGCAGCTGGTCCACGCCCACCTGCATATCGTGCGCAGGTGCAGACTCCATGCTTCAAAAGGAACATTGATAGACGGCAGGGAGATCTGATCAGAGGGCTTTGCAGGGAACGATAAGCCAGGCTCCGAGTCCCAGTGGAAGGGACCGCTGCTGTCGGACGTACGGAAGAGATGACTCAGGGGCACGCGGTCGCTTTGTGGCCGCAGACAGCAAAGTGAGGACCCACAGGGTCAGGGGCTGCCGCGCAAACGGGCTGATAGCGCCTTGGCGGTGACACTGTAGATTCGAGCGCAGACGGGCTGCCTCCCACGCTTTGTGCCCCACGATTCTGGATGCTCCCCGTTTCTTCCTCACCTCCACAGGGCACTGCACCAGGATAATGTCTCGGTGAACCTATTTGTAGTGAACAAAGCCTGGCTCTTCTCCCTGCTCTGGTGCGCGGGGGTGGATTCGGTCACCACCAACGACTGCCAGCTGCTGCAGCAGATGCATTACCCCATCTGGCTTATTGTAAGGGCTCTGACACTGTCATCCCTCCTTAACCTGTCCCTCTCTTCCTTACATTCCCCCCCCCACCCATATACTACCTTTGGGGCTCCGGCCAACGACAGGGGCCTTTCCTATCCCCACAGCCCCCACAAACATACCTGATGATGTGGCTCGTTACCAACTGCATCTCCGCCCTGTTGATTCTGTGGACCTTTCTCCTCCACGGGTGAGTGCTTCGTGCCTCAGCTTTCTGGATGTTTATTTTCCCCCGGGGCCTGGTGATGGGGCTGATCCGGACTCAGATGTGCTGCTTGGGCTTTGGAGTTTGGTCTGGCGGGTCCCTTTGAGATGCTTAGACCCTTCCCCAGACACCGAATCGGCTTGCACCTGGGAAAAGCAGTTTGGGGAAGCCAGGGTCAAAAGGCTGTGCTTGCAGTTGGCCGAACTCACCACGGGAAGCTTTTCTCCCTGTAGGACCTGTAAGAAGGAGAGAGAGAGAACCGGTAAGCACGTCCTCCGCTCACGTCGTTTTTCTCATCCTCTGGCGTGCCCCGTGCTCACCCCCTTCCTGCTCCCTCCCCTCCCTAGGCTTAGAAACAGCGGTGCTGCTCACCAGGATCAACAACTTCATGATGGAGTGAGTGTCCTGCCCCGGGCAGGCCCCCACCAGCCGCAGTCTGAGGCCCGTCTGCCTTTGCCAGCAGCAAGGAAGGGACAATGGTGGAGGCGGCACGTTGCCGTTGCCGGGGTTGGGGTGGTGCGAACTTTGCACGTGGGTGTGGAAGCATGAGGGCGCTCCGCCCAGATAGCGGACATGCCCAAGCTCCCACGAGGCTGCTGCCCTTGGGGTCTGACCCGCGGTGGTTGGGAAAACAGTGAGCGCTTAGAAGTTTCTTCCAAAATGAAGCTAGACCAGAGGAGGTGGCCACCATGATGTGTCAGACTTGTGTGCATGTGTTTTTGTGTAGAAGGCACGTGTGTGTCAGAGATGGGGCAGCTTGGAACAGAGACTGAAGACGACAGAGCGGCCTTTCCTGTCTCCCCGATACCTGCAATGGGGCTGCCTTCTTGCCTACCCGTTGGGCCTAAAGAACCCGTGTGGCCATATTAATTCTATGCTACAGATGACATTTGGTGCACACGGCCTTTTTCTTCAATATATTTTGATTCACGTTACTTGTCTGCTATTCATATTTAATTCGCGTGTGCCCACGGTCTCATCTTTTCGGCGCTGGGGCTGGGCGGAGAAAGTACCCTCCGCCTGGGGTTGAATGTGACCCGATACTGAGGGGTCGCCGGGGGGAGGTGCGTGGCCTGTAGATGGGGAGCAGGACCACTTGAGGCAATAAAGGGCTGCAAGGGACGAAGAGCCGCCGCCGCAGGGGAGGTGGGGCGGGGCGGCGCGTTCTGCAGCGTCGCAGCGCCACCTGGTGGTCACCTGCCCCCAAAAAGAGGGCGGCGTCCGCATCACCGGGATGTGTTTGCTGAATGCCACCTGTTTCCCCTGCCGGTCGGCGACCTGTGTCCTTGATTCCGGACCCCGAGGGCATGGTCCGATCGCCACGAGTGTTCGCTTCTCTGGGCTGAGCACGGGGTCTGGCTCCAGGCCCGCCTTCCCCCGAAGGAGCAAGTTCCTAGTGTGTTTGCTGCCGGTCATGAGTGCCCGAGCTAAACCTTTCAGGTGACTGTCGCGGAGCTAGCCTAGGATGAGTCCTTCTGGTAGAAAGCGGGGGAGGAGCTAAGGCAAAAACGGGGTCGGGAGGGGACTCTGTGGCTGACACTTCAGTCCCCCACCGCACTGACATTCGCCCCAGTTCGCGTCCGCGCACGAAGGCAAATCGAACTGAGGCTCTACCGAGGTCAGGACGTTCGGGTCTCCATTCCTCCCGCCGGACCGGGACCTGGGGCCGCGCTAGCGCCCTGGCACAAGACTCGGCTCGGTCGGGGGGGGCCTCCCCGGGAACTACAATTCCCAGGATGCTCCAGGCAACTTCCGGTCTCGCGAGTGACGCAGGCGACTTTGAATGTGCGTTCCCGCCCCTCCTCCTCCCCGCCCCCGCC